CTAAACTAAATTATAAATTTATACGAAAACAGGATAAAGATGAACAAAACCTACACAAAATAGGACTCAGAGCTTTTGTCATGTTCACTTTAAAATTGCAATGTACTAAGGTTACTGATCGTTTGTTACAATATATATGCAGCTAGGAGGACCTTCATGGAAGGTGCGACTGGGGAGGAGAGACTCAACAACCGCAAGCAGAACCCAAGCCGAAGATGACATTCCAAATCCCTTCATGGACCTTCAAGCACTCATTGCCAATTTCCAACGTCAGGGCCTCAACGAGAGAGACCTCGTTGCTCTCTCGGGCGGCCACACCATAGGCTTCTCCAAATGCTTACTCTTCAAAAACCGAACTTACAACGGAACAAACATCGACCCTGCATTTGCACAACAGCTTAGAGCAAACTGTCCGCCCAATGACGGCGATTCGAACCTCAGTCCCTTGGACCCAACACCAGCTCGTTTTGATGGTGCATACTACAACAACTTGGTGAAGCAGAGGGGGCTGCTGCAGTCGGATCAAGCGCTCTTCAGCGGCGGCTCCACCGACGCAATTGTAAGGAGTTACATGTCTAATCCTGAAGCCTTCTGGGCAGATTTTGCGAGGTCTATGATCACGATGGGGAACATTAAGCCTTTGACCGGAACTCAAGGACAGATTCGGGATAACTGCCGGAGGGTGAATTGATGAAATTTAAAGCAACCTCGGCTTTGTGGTCTAAAAGTTCATTGTTTATTTTATTTTATTTTCTTTGAAAATCGGTAAATTAATTTCATAAGAAAGAAGTGTTGCAAATTGAATCGACAAGATTGGTTTTTTTTTTTTTTTAAAAAAAAAGGCACTGGCGAAATGATTGATTGTGTCAAATTAAATTGTCAAGTGTGGATAAATATGATTGTCCGTTTTTATTGGGAAAAAATATGATTATCTTTTTACCAACCGGGTCTATGACTCAATTGGTTGCCCCCAAACTTTATGGTTTGGGTGAGGCGGAGGTCAGGGCTTCGAGCTCTACCACCGCCGTGAACTCCACCAACTTGCAACTTAATGGTCGCGCGCCTCAAATGAGGAGGTAGAAGTTTCACTTTCTTGAAAAAATTTCAGCTGCTAACAAACTAACTCTACTAACTTTCTAACCATCTACCTGGTCAAAAAATATATATATATATATATGATTATCTTTTTATTCTTCGTTACCATGTAATTTCAAAAAAAGTAGCCACATCCAAAGTCCTCAATGTAATTTCAACAGGAGTAGTCGTATCCAAGTCCTTTGTAATGATTTATGATTATCATGAAATACTATGGCCATAGTTATGGTTATGATTGTGATTGTAATTATGTTGAATTATATTGTATTATAATTGTGATTAAAAATTATTTTGATATTTGATTATTTATTTTTTATAAATATAGATAAAATATGATTGATTTTATTAATTATTAATTAAAATTTTAAAAATATTTTAAGATATATAATTATTAAAATAGATAATATTTATTATTTTTTAATAATTT